GTGAAAGTACTAAGAGGTACTCATATAGAGATACTGAAAGGTACTCATGTGAAGGTACTAAGAAGTACTCATATGAAGGTACTGAGAGGTACTTGTGTGAAGATACTGAGAGATACTCATGTGAAGGTACTCAGAGGTACTGAAAGGTACTTGTGCAGAGGCACTTGGAGACACTTGTGTAGCATTACTGTGCCATACATAACTAGCCAATAATATTTTTATAACTAATACAATAATAAAGATAATATACTAATAAATATAACTATATAATAATAACTAATACTAAATAAATATAACTAATACTGTATATACAAATAATAAACTATAATCTATATGCTATACTAATGCTACGTTGTGTTACAATCTTTGTAACAATATAAAGTGTGTATGCATTTCAAATTTTTTACTTTTGAGAAATACAAACTCTTAGTCATGTACTAGACCCCAGGTCTACTATAGGTTTTAGAATTGGTAGAATGCAACAGACCCGGGTCTTTTATATGTCCGTTTACGGTACTTCTTTTTTCTTAAAGTTGAATAATTTTATTGTTCTTTATATAGTTATTCTAATATTACTATTTTTTTTTTCTAAAACTAATTAAATTTTTTTTCATTGACTTTTTTTTAGATTCTTTCTATAAGAAATAAAAATACTAGTTTCTGATTCTTAGTTTACTAAAACCAATCTATTTTCTTTGGGCTTTTTTTTTTGTTTATCAGAACGTCCGTTACATCTTTGAGATTTCCGTAAATCATGTGACTATAAACCAACCAATAATAATGATACAGTATAATGTTTGTTTAATTCGTTTAAGTTTCGAAAAAAAACGTTAAACGAAATTATAGCTTCAAATCGACTAAATAAAAATAAATATTGCAATAATATTTAGCAAAATTCTATATATTTTTAACACGTATATATTATAAAATTTTTGGCTCAGCCTGGGAACCCAATGCAGGTCTCTACTATCCGTACTGTACAAAAAAAAAAAATAATAAATTAAAATAAAAATTCGATTCAGAATTGTTTAAAATATTCGAGTTTTTTTTTAAAAAAAAAGTATATGGTAAGCTATAATCTCTGTGTAATGTTATTTACGGTCGTCTTTCTTTAAGATTCTTTAAAAACCAGTCATTCTACAAATTATAACTTTCCGCATGGTTAAAAATAAAACTTTTATTAGAACTCAATTATTCGTCAAAGATCTGTTAGATGCTATTCGGCCATTATCGGGCCGAATGCATCTAGTAAATCTTACTGAATAATGTTATTTGGCAAAAATTTTGACGGATAAATTTTCAGTTATCGGCCGATTATTCGTCCAAATTTTTGCCGAAATAACTGCAGTTTATTAATCACTACGCGTCTAATAACATAATTTTGGCTTGAAGAAAAGTGATAAAAATTTACAGAACTCACCTCTTGACAGTGTGACATATTTTATTCCTTACTTTGTCAATGCCATGTGAACGAAAAATGATTTAATTTTTTAGCGTCCTCTTCATTCATTACTGAGGTTTTGAAAACGAATGGTGCAAGATTATGTAATGCTATATTGTAGCTCGTATAAAATTAAAAATACAGCTTGAATGCACCGACTATAAGGTAAGCACCGATTGTCATTCTCGCTTCGTGCTTTATGAAACTATTATGTGGTATACAAGTAAAATACATTTTTGCCTTATTTTCGGTATTGATAATAGCAGTAAACCGAAAACAGCCAAGTTGCAAGTTTAAGGATTGATATACTTGAACGTTTCAACGATCAAACTCAAAAGGACAAACCAATTTAAAAGCCATGGCTTGATCAATATTGCTTACATAAATGTGCTGCGTGACATATGTAATAATATATACTTGGCAATAGTATCGACTTGAAATTACGAATAACGCGTCATGATCAACTTATTTCTTTACAAAAAGTTGAAACAAAAAAAAAAAACCAAAAAAATAAAAAATATATGTGAATCAAAAAAAAGAATTTTTTTTCTTTTTTATGTATTTATTTTGTGTATTTTTTTCTATTTTTGTCCTTTTTTCAAAAAAATCCAAAAAAAAATAACACGAACACAAAAAATCAATCAATCAGTAATAATAATTAGCTGATCGATTAGTAATCTAGTTTTCTTTATAGGAAAAAAAAAAAAAAAAATTAAATGTCTCAAAGTCTTTGGATTCTCGTGGTTCCCATTTGATTTTTTTGTGTAGTGAAAGATAATTAATATATATGTATAAATGGATTGGGAATAAGAAAAAAAATTAATTTTGAAGATAGTATAAACTAAAAAAAAAAAAAAAACCCTGAACTTTAACAATTGTTCCGCTATGGATTATAATCAATGAAAAGGCCAAGGGAAAAGAAAATGAAAAAAAAAATTTGGATTTGAAATTTGTACAAGTAATCGAAGAAAAGAAAAAAAAATAAAGGATAAAGTATATTACACAAATCATTTGAAGAAATGAATTGAAAAAGGATAATGGCAAATTACGAAGAATGAAGCAGTAGAAAATTCGGGTTTAAACGAATCTTGATAGATTCATGGCTTTCGTTTTTTTTTTTTTTTTTTTTTTTTTTTTGTAAATACAAAAAAGCAATGTTCATTAAAGTGTAGGCCAACCGTGACAACAAAAAAGTGTAAAGTTTGTTTTTGCTAAAAAAAAATTATTTTTCAAGCCTATAAAATGCAAATAAAACCAATTGCACTCAATTTCCCTCAACATCAAAAAAAGGATCAACGACGAAGACAATCAGAACCGTTGGACAAGCCAATGGTAGATACATTTTCATCGCCGTAGCCGCGAACGCATAATCATCAAGAATTCAATTATGGCTTTCTAAACTCAGTTAATACTGGATAGATAGACTCGAACGCTTGATAGATTTCTTCACGGACCTAAAAGTAACAAATAGAAGGAAAAAAAAAAAAAAGAGAACAAAAAAAAAAAATAGGGATTATCGAAAATGAGAAACATATAGAAATGTATGCCAATATCATCAACAATGAGAACACTAATACATCAAGAAAGTATAAAATGGGGATAGAAATTACCTTAGCACCAGTAAGAACGATTTTTCCCGACACAAAGATTAACAAGACAATTTTTGGTTTTACCATTCTGTAAATCAAGCCAGGGAACAACTCAGGTTCATACTAATGAACGAAGAAATATATAATAAGAGGGATGCGCAGACTAAGGAATAAGCTATAAAAAAAACGTAGTGCATAATAGCACTTACACTACTAAAATGTCCATGAGAATAAGCGAGACCTTCCAGACGAATTGGGAACTTGACATCGCATGAACCAACAATATTCTGGATTTTGAAATCAGTGAATCTTGCATTGAAACCAAGTTTTTGAATAATTCGAGCGTATTTACGACTTGCTAATTTAGAATCGTCTTCAGATTTCGCTCCGGTAACGACCATCTTGCCAGAAGCGAAAATTAGGGCAGTTGTTTTTGGTTCACGAATTCTCATGATGACTGCGGCGAAGCGCTAATAATTGTATCATTACATAACAGTATTTAGCATCTATATTTAATATTTTACCACAATTGTCTATGCTACCAACGCATAGCAATGCGGTAGTACCTTTGGATTGTATTCAGCATTTCTAGCATGAAGCGCGATAGTCTTGAGGTCAAGCTTACAACCAAGATTAACAGTAGCGACAATGTTTCTATAATAATTTGAAAAGAAGAAAGAATATATATATGTATAAACGTTGAGTTTCATATTATATAAAGTAAAAAGGAGATAAAAATGATTGACGCGGACCAGCGCAATACTCACTGTAACTGCGGGACGATGCCAGCAACGTTTTGAGATTGCGCTGGAATAACTTGATCGATGGCACCGCTCACTTGTTCGTCCACTATCATAGTTTGATTGTTGTACATTACACTAGTAGGAGTCGTTGGCCCCACGGCTACGACAGATGTTTGAGGAAAAGAGAGTGGGGTTCCTATCTGGGACATGTGGTGATCCATGAATTATTTTATTTTTTTTTAGAGTTGTTTGACGTGTAAAGAGTAAGAAAATACGTAGATTCTTTAACGTAACGAGGAGAAGAGGCAGTCAGTTCGATACGTTAAAGATTTCTAAAGATTTCTAAAGTTGTTTTGAAAAAAAGCTGACTGTCTCTATTTAAGCTTTTTTTTTTTGTTTGTTTTTTTTTTTTTCTGACGTTTTCGTTTATGACGTCACACTTGTATTAAAAGTTTATAATTCAGAAATATCACGTGACGTTTATATATCAAAAAAAAATGACAACAATGAATATTATAGGGTAATAGAAGAAAAAAATTTGATTGGGTAAAAAAAAATATAATTTTTTATTTTTTTAAATATTCGAAATTCAAAAGTTGGGGACGAGGCCGTAAGTCGGAATTTTTGAGCAGGTGGGGCTTGAGGCCTATTTATACGATTTTTAAAAAGTCCAGGTATTAATAATGAATGATTATAGAACTCGCGATCATATTCCTAAAAAATACATTTATTGGTTCACAAAACCAAACACGGCACAAGCGAAAAAAAAAAAAAATTTATAATTTACAATATAAATAAAATAAAGTAACCTATTCAAGAGTAAATATATATACATACATATACTTATATTTACATATAGTATACATAAATTGTATATAAATATACATATATATACATTTGTTTTTCAATTAAAAAAATCAAACAGATAATACATAAAAAAAGTCATTCTGATAATATGTGACAATAATCAAAAAAGTGATAACGAAGAGATCAAAAGGCGCAGTGACGCAAAGCGCAGATCTGATTACTTTAACAACTCAGACTCTTTATTAGTACAGCCAAATTCTTTTACTCACTTTTAACTAACTCTCTTTTCATTTTTACTTAAATCTTTTGCGAAAAGTAAGTGAAACTCGCTCGATAATAGAAATGTATTTCATATCTTTAAAGGCTATCGTAACATCAGTTTGAAACTTCAAAAGATGACTTTTTCTCTGAACATAGGACTTTTATGCCTGAAAATGCGATATTATTAATGGCTTGTGGAAAATTTTTATTGATGTCTATCGATGTCTAAAGTGCTCATTTAACATATTAAAAATTGGTCATAGTTGGGTAAAGTCTGTTTTCCTGAACCTTTTTCAAGCGGCACAATATTTTCCATCAGTTGCTATCCAAAAAAAAAAAATTCGTAGATTGAACTTTTCCTTAAGCAGACAAGAAAAAAAGACCAAGAAAACAATTAAGGGAAGACAATCAAGAAAATCAAGAAGGCAAAAGACATACATTTCTTTTGTATACATTACTAACTTCGTTGTTGCAGCTTTAAAATTTTAAAATTGATTTTATTTATATTACGATATTGCGAAAATGAAATGTATATGTGTGATATTTTTATTTATTTGGATTTATATGGATTTATATAGCCGTGAATAACCATGATTGACATTATATGCGTGCGTACAATTATATTGACGGGACTTCTTCGAGGTATACAGTGTAATCTTAGTCATAGTACAGCTTTTCCGCCGACAAATGCACATATAAATAATAAATAAATGAAAAAAAAAAGCAGCCACAAAAATTACACATATTCACATTTGTATAAATAGATTATAGTATACGGCAACACAAATTAAAATTTTTTTTCTCTAAACTCCAGTTGGCCAGATAAGTTAGTGATACCTGTACAATATAACTATTTTGCTTTTTCTCAAAGGCCGATACATGTTTCACTCGTTCATCAATCTAATATTGATCAAGTATGGTTATAAAACTTGCTTATCTTCTCATTCAATAAATAACTTATATTGATGCGGGGCTGGTCTACATTATATTTTAAATAGGCGGGCAAGAATTTTGGGCTGAAAAGTTGTAAAAAGGCGGGCTTTCTAAACTTTGGTCAAGGACATGGAAAAGGCCGACGTGAAAAGAATAAAAAGACAAACAGAAAATCTTTTTATTCTTTTTACGCAGTAAAGAAATTTTTCATGTTTTCAAAACTGTTAACCAAAAATATTTGTCAATAAAGTCTTAATTACTGCGGAACGATTCTGCTTCTTATAACGACCTTTCTTGATAATATTATGTCTTTTAACACTTTTTAATTTGGTCGCTTACGCTTTAGTCAACGAACAATCAAGCACTTAGTTAAGCGAATTTGAGAGAAGACAAGCCAAGTTTTCTTCGAAACAAAAAAGCATGGTTCACTTGAAAAGCAACACAGAACAACAAGGGAGTGAAAAAGCAAATCATTATGAAATTGCCTTATTATTGATTTTATAATCTGTTGCATGCGATTTCCTGTTTTTCATGCACAAATGTAATCATGTGGCCATTTGTTTGAGAAACATGGTGCTTACCATAATTTTATTTTTATCGGAGTGTTCCATATTGATTTCCGGTTAATCGATGTTCCTTTATAGGTGTACATTATTGATTGGCTGCTGATATATCAATTTTTATGACACATATTTGATTCCTTATTTATGGTTGTACAGATAACGGATCGCATTGTAATTGGATTCTCTTGTTGGCTTTTTTTTTTTTTTCTTTTTTTTTTTTTTTTTTTTTTTACACGATGCGTCACACTTACAATTAAGAATTGTTACATAATTACACGCGTATATATCGGTATCGTAAATTTACTACTATCATTATATATTATAAAGTTTATTTGTATTTTTGTATTTATGTGTTTATATAGTACCCGATACAGTCCCGATACTATATCGATATACTGTATAAATTTACAAATTCATTAGATCGAAAGAATGAATTTACCTTGCCTACATAGAAATATTGAAGTCGCTTCCATCTATTTGAATTATCGTTATCAATTTACCGATATATCTGTCTCCTGATTTGTAATTTAGATGGAATCTAAAAATTATTCGATCTCTCTTATGAGTACATTAAAAATACTTTAGGTTCATGTCTAGCAACTTTAATTATCCTTGTTTATCTTGAACTACTGTATATTCACATTACAATATCACGTCAAATTTTATCACTGCCCGAAATCACGCTGACGACTATTTATATGTACGTACGTACGTACATAACAATTTATGCACTCTGCATTAAACACTAAACGATAGATCATACGCATATCGATATACGAAAGATCGTATGTATATTTGGCTAAAAGTTACTAAAAACTCACGTACGTACATACTTTAATATATCAGATATTACTTCTTAATTATTCTTAAAGACATGACTCTCCAATATCGATATATAAGTCCACTGATAGATTTTGTAATTTGACGTCAAAGTCTATCACGGAAAACATGTGTTTATTACGATAGTAAAATTTTTTGCAAAAATTGCAGATATATAAAATATACCTATCCGGGGTGAAGTGCCTTTAAATGATAATACAACTTGTGTATTAAACATTTATGCTTTAATAGTTATATTTTAAATAATACTTTAATAGTATATATATATAAACTAAAAAATACCCCGTTGCGCGCTTTAGGCAATAAACAATATGTATTCTGTTTTTAAATTTTATTCGACTAATACTGAGCTTTTTTTATCTGATAATGATAAATATCTGATATCAATGTTTCGTAATTCTTTATTTAGTCAATTAGCATTATATTTTTGATACAGTTATAGATACTCTTGACATCATTATACTATTTTTTTAGCTCTACGTAGTTATAAACATATATATTTAACTTTATATAATTACAGTTTCTATATAAACTATTTCTATTTGTACAAACACAAATAAATATATATACTGTATATAACAACTTAAAATTTACTAATAAACCTATTTTTGAAATTTTAAACAAAAAAATCTTTGTAAAAGCTTTAGTATAACTATACTCTAATAATCTTTAATTTTAATTATATAAAAAGTAAAAGTATAGTAAAAAAATAGTAATGTAGTAGTCAATAGTAGTAGGCATATTGCCAACATATAGTAACTTTAAAACTGTAGCTACTACAAAGTAACTATACAACTACTTTATAGCTAATTGCAAGTAGTATTAAAGTTGCTAAATTGGATAGTTCAGTAATGTACTAAAATTATTTATTTATAACTAAAATCAATCAAAGCTATTAATATTTTTATATACAGTATATACCATACCGTTCTGAAATTAAGCACCTTTTTTTTGTTATTTAGGAGTGCTTATTTTTGGATATAATTTTAAGAATTAATTATAGAGGATTTTGTATTAAGTAAATCTACCTTCTGTTTGTAAATAAAGCTATTCACCAGGCCAAGACTATTCTAACGGTAGTAAAATCATCAAAATTGGTCTAGTAGAATGTTTACAATTTATCTTCAAAGTTCGGGCGACGTTTGTTTATATTTCGCTTGCATTAGAGATCATATAAAAAAAGAAAAACTGAAATATTGCTAGAGCTTTGAGAAGTAATTGCAAATGATTTATTGGATCATTTTTGATAATTTTACCACCATTAGAATCGTCTTGGCCTAGAGAATAACTTTACTTAGAGACAGAAGGTAGACTTATCTTGAAAAAAATCAGATATAATTATACTTAGGAGGTGCTTATTTTCGGGTATTGTGCTATATTTTATGGTGCTTAATTTTGGGGATGCTTAATTTCGGAACGGTATAGTACAGTAATTAATCTAGATTTTGTATATTTTTATTTACTTTTAATTGGTTTCTATATATTTATTTTTTCACTTATTTTATTTAATATATTTTTTTTTGACCAAATTTGTATTTTAATCAAATTTATATATTTTAATCTATTATTAATAACCTGTAATTTAATAATTCAATCTTGATAATTTTAATACTATTTAAATTTTTTAGTAAGAGACTTCAAAAATTATTAAAATCTTCAATATTAAATTACTAGATTACAAGTTATTAATAATAAATCAAAATATATGAATTTGATTAAATACAAATTTGGTCAAAAAAAATATTTTAACTTTTAAATTAAAAATCTGTTAAAGCCAAATATTATTATACTAGTGTTATATAGTA